ACTTTATTATATGTTTTGGGTTCAACATGAGCTCCATAACAACAGAGAAGACCCTATAAGCAGGTGAAATTTGATTATAATAAACTACTGAAAAAATAGAGTGAGGACTTTACTTTTGGATTCTGGGGTCAAGAACTAATCCTTAAGTTTCACTTGAGTTTTTTTATTCTAGAATACCTTGTGAGAGAATGATGCTGAGTGATTGACTCATGAATAAGTTTCAGTTCATCACATGACATCCAAGTTTGATAGTTATACTTACAATTCGATCAAACTGCACCTTTTTCCTATATATAAAAGAAAATACTTGACTGAGATTGGATTAGTTCTTGCTCATGATGACAGATTGTTTGTATTAGGGAAGATTGTTTGTATTAGGGAAAAGAGTCAAATAAATACATCTACTATTATCAATACATCACATAGGTACATGTACTTTGAAAAGTGTGAAATATATCTATACACTCTTGACAAACAGTCATTTGGATCAAATGACCGGAAAATTATCTGAAATGACCTGGAAAACTACCTGAGTATCGTTTACTGTTCATTTTGCATCCGTTTTTCTGATTCTCTTTCTTAAGGTTTTCCTATCCATATTCTACTTGCAATTTATCTCTTTGGGTTAAACGAGGAGATACAGTTTATCTCCATTTAGTCAGGTTAAATGAGGTAAGCGAGATAATCTTCCATGAGTTAAATGAATGGAACATAGTAAATGAGATAATCTGATTCTCTTTCTTAAGGTTTCCTATACGTATAATCTTCAATGAGTTAAATGATTCATCACCTTTTTAAAACAATTTTCAAGTACTACTATCTTGCTGTTGACGTGCACAGTACAGAACCATCTTGGTTGTTTTTCTATAATAGCTCACCTTGAGGATATTTTTCTCAGGGCCGCTGAATTCATGAAAATAACTCTGAGGGTTTATTATGTGGGTACCCAGCGAGCAGTGGATCGGTTTATTATGCAGGTATCCAACAAGCAGTTTATTTTTAAGTAATTTTTACAAAGTTGGCATGCACAATATAATCCTTTAATACATATCAAAGCTGCTACATTGATCTGCGGTACTTGCGAGATTGACCTAAGGAAGCAATTTTTGAGCTGTCTACTGCTAAAGAGGCTCAATTTTCATAGTATGTTTAACTACATTTCATCAAACTCATAACATCATTGTTTCACTTAAACCTCTCAACATTGACACTGAAGGTTAGAAAATACAGGATTTCTTGATAAATGCATTCATCTCAACTTCAGTTAATAAAAATAAAATACAACCAATCTGAAGTGACTAATCAATGGGCTTGATACTTTTTTATTAAAAATTCACTATTTTCTGAAAATTTATGCAGTTATGTTAGTGCAGTGCAACCATAAAAAATAAAATACAATCAATCTGAAGTGACTAATCAATGGCTTTTAAAATGTTTTGTTTGAAAACCATAAAAAAGGTAATGTTTTATATAGTCCCTATTTTAAACCGTCTTTAATTTTTTTCCCCGTTCTACGGAATATTTTCTTTGTAACATGACCAAGATAGTTTAGAGCAATAGCTCAAGGTAAAATGTATCAATTGCCATTTATGGTCCAATGATTTAATGGAATGTTAGATCAAGATCGATATTTATGAGTGGATATTTTCAGATTTTAATCTTAATTTATTTAAGTGATTAGCTAGCAGAGTGATTTTTCATCATTTCATTGTTGGGGTGCCTTTAGCCTTATGCGAGGCACTTTTTTTTTTTGCTTCAGAGAAATTCTATTGCCTCTTGAAGGACTACTCTACTTTCTTGGTAGGAGTTTTTTTGTGCTGGGTTGCTTTTAGACATTGCCTGATCCATGTTCCAGAATCCAGAAGTTGCATAAAGATGAAACTATGAGACGAAAAATGGGGGAAAATGCAGGTCACGCAGCTTATAAATTTAGCCAAAGGAAAACAATGGAAACGGTGTTCTAATGGCAGAGTCTGTATTGAAAGATCCCTAGGTGGGGTTTTTGGGATTTGCAGGTTAGAAGATAATTGATCTATGCATTTTTCTTTCTACACACTATATGTATTTGATTCATGTTTAGCTATATTAGATGAGAAAGACATATTAATGAGTTTTGGTGCATTACTAAAGTATACTCAATGCATGTATATTGAGTTTAATTTTAAAGACTTTGTCACCTATCTAACCTCAAGAATTATTGATTTAAAGGGTAGATAGGGTGATGCATGTGACAATATGAGTTGGACTTGCTGTTTAGGGGATATATAAAGGGACCCAATTTGATCTATTTGATGAAAAACTATAGAAAAAAGGATTTGACAAAACACTTTAATGTATTGTTAGCTCTTAAAAAAACGTTCTCCCAAAAACCTACATATCCACTCCAGTTCTTTTGGTTCATTCTCTTGAAAATTCAATATAGATATATACATGAAAAGTTAACAAGCACAAGTAAACATGTAGTAGGAGCTGAAAACATATAGATACTTATATTCGCATTTAAAATCGTGTCTGAAGAGTGGGTTTTTAGTTATAAATGGCAAGTTTAGGTTTTGATAATGATATAACTGTAGGATTTGAAATTTTTAACATCAAGAGCTGACATATTGGAATATGTAATCTGCTGCTCATGTCTTTATCTGCCTGTGACTTGCTAATTGTAGGTGTATGTGTAGCTTCTCTTACAAATATGGAGCTGGCACAAAAGGTTACTAATGTCGGGTGTTCGGCACTTAGAATCTGGGTCTTTGAATCGGTGCTATCATCATCTATGTAGTTTTGATAAAGATAGCCTGATAGAATGAAAGCCTTAGTGCACGACTGCAGCTAGCAGTATAGTCCTACTCTAAGATAGTTAAAGATTATTCTATGAGTTTATTTTGTGTGTACTGTATAATCCTCACTGTTTACAAGAAAAGTCGCCCTAAAAGAAGTCGTACTCCTTAATTATAATACTCCCCTTTTTAGTACTACAAATTCTATACTGCCTATGTTATGTTCTCTATTTGTCTAGAGTCTTATCTGCCAAGCTTTTGAGATAGAGAAATTGCTCTCAATAGGAGTAAAAAGTTTTTGGAATTTCAATATAGGACTACTATGTTTTCCTTCACGAAATAGGAGTCATTGCTACCATTGATGAAAAATATTGTCATGATCTAAAAATACCATCATTAATGATAGTAAATATTGTCATGTTTAATGTTTACATTGCAACTATTTGGCCGTAATGACTATAAGATGAAAGTAAATATTACTTCCTCTGCCCCCTCATTTTGTCCCATTTTACCTTTTTTCGTCCATTCCATTAATTTTGTCTCATACCATGTTGGGTAATATTTGGGTGACTACATTTCATTCTTACTTTATTCACACTTTATCAATTCAATATCAACGACACAATTTTACTTTTTCTTAAAAGTTGTGCCACACTTCTTTGTCCCAAACATAGTGGGATGGCGGTAATATTATTTTATTACTATTGCTTTTGGATTTTAATACTAATTCAAATTTGATTTTGTAAATATATTTAAAAAGTAAAAATTATGTGGTTGAGTTGTATAGAGGAGCAGAGACAAAAGTATGAATCATGATTTTTTTTTGCCATAAAAGAGAATCGAAATTTATTCTGAGATGGTGAAAAAGAAAAAGAAAATACTTTTGGGAAGAAGGTTTATGATAAATAACTTTTAATAACTTTTGAAGACACATTTTGTGAGTAAGTTTTGTGACATTGTATTTATTTCACAAATAATCGTAGACTATCCGTGTCACAAATTTTGTGACAAAATCACACCCCTCAGAGCTATAATTTTCATAACCATATGATAATAATACACAATTTGAAGACACATAATCAATGATCATGATTATGTTTATTTCACAAGTAGTGACAATATACTTATACACACAATAATCACAATCACATTTTTCTATAAATTTGAGTATTAAGCTATATACTGCATTTCCTTGCAATGCACAGGTGAAGCTATATATGGTGCGGTATCGAGAGTTGCGAGTCTATCAGGGTTAAAATTTGTCATAAGTGATGATAATGGTCAACCAAGTAATACTGATAAATGTTGTTTGTGAAGAAGTGTATAACAATTTATAGATTATTTTTATATATGATTTCTTAGATGTTGAATTCTATACTTTGAATGTTTAAATTATAGTCCTATTATCATTTCCATCTTTACATTCTCAATGAAATGTTTTCCCGTGCAACGCACGGGTTAAATACTAGTATATAATAATCATTCATATTTGGTCCTGTGGAATACAAGGATATGATAGTTATTACTCCGTATTATTTGGACTATGTAATGAATTCTTGGTAGATATACTAACCTACGTAGTACAATTTTAACTCCAAACAACCTAACGGAATGAGACATATTTTACTTTTCCTGGTCTTGCTCTATGTTGATATAGTTCGGGGGGTGATTTACCAAAACACGGGAGAATCACGTTGCCCTTGCCAAAACACGGGGATATTTCTAGGTTTTACCAAAAAGCGTAAGTCGGAACACCGAGTTCCGACTAGAAGTAGTGTTTCGGAAAAAAAATCTCCCCCCTCTAGTCGGATTAGCCAATTCCAACCAGGGTGTTTTTTTATTTTTATTTTTTTCAGTTTTTGATTTTGAGTTGGTTGTAAAAAGGTTTGGCTAAATTCCATACATATTTTTTAAAATGAAAACTTAAGATTTTGTTTTTTTAGTAACAAAACAATTGATTGCTTTATATTATTTTTTAATCCATTTGTATTGTGAATTATGTTTTAATTGCATTTTTTGTAATTTTATGTGCAATTTTGATTTAATCCATTCGTCAAATTAGATAAAAATTTGATTTTGTTTTAAGTGTAATTTTTTGTAATTGTAATGGAAGTGAACAAAACAAATGTAGTTTTCAATGTAATTTATTAATAAATAGACAGTACATACAATATTAAATTTAATACTACATCTAACGTTGCGTGCTCGGCCCTGCTCCGTCCCCACCGCCAGTGTTCCAAGGCCCCGTTGCATCTCCAGAGTAAAACGACGAATGCAGAAATGAGTCAACATAATCATCTGGTTGTGTGGAGAACTGATAAGAATCATAATAGTGCGATGGTTGATCAAATGAGACACCTTGATGCATTGAGAATTGAGGGGGTGGTTGATGAAATGAGACACCCTGTGTTGAGAATTGAGGGGGCGATTGTGAGTGCTCACCCCCACCTTCATGTTCATCTGCATCATCCTCTTCATCACTTCCACTTGCATCTTCATCTTCATAATGGAATATGCCCCGGTGGAGCATATCTTCATCACCTACGTCCAGGGTCATCCGCCGTAGTCGTTTTAGACAGTCCTCATGACTCGCGCGGTTGGCTAGGAGCTGATACATCTCGTGAACGCCTTGCTTCTACATAAAAATGTAACACTTGTAAATAATATGACACGATATATGTTTATGAATATGGTATGTATTCAAAAAACTTACCATAATACCCCAATCGTGTGATGTCGGGGTGTAGCCTGTCGTGGGCACATTGTGAGAAGGGTTCTGGACACGTGTCATACCATGCTTCTTGTACCATTTTCGGTACCTATCAGTTGCTTCTAGGGACATATGTTGATCATAATCAAGAAAGTATATATGACGTTGTATGTCCACCCACATCGCCAAGGCACCGGTTACTATGTTGGAACGATTGCCGTGATGATCAGTAACCGCTAAAGGAGCATCCGGAATATCTTGCCTTATACTGAACTGCCGAAGAAATCGATCGGGGTAATGCATTTCGGCCCTATTGCAAAATATGAGCATGACCCTAGCCGACCAAAGCGGAGCATCATTAAGGATGTGAGGTGGGAGTATCTCGGACGCGTAGGGAGTGAAATCAAACTGTAAAAAGTTTAATTTGCAATTTAAGAACTATAAAAAATGTGAATTGAAAATTGAATAGTACGGTTGAAGTAAAAATTTCAAGTACTACCTGACTCTCACTCATGCGGTCTAGGTTATCCCGGTATAAGCGTATGCAATGTCTTGGGGATCCCTTATATGACTTGGGGACGATCCACCTACATTTATTGATTACCGATATGAAGTTAAAAAATGTAACGTCATATAAAGCATTCTCAATTATTAAGATGTAATTGTCAACATACCTGCACCCATATGGAAGTTGGTTAGGTTGAATGACCTGAAGTACTGAGGGACGGACCATCGAAATCCTCGACCAAGCCCAAATTTGTAACAAGTGCAAACAACCGCCAATTTGTTTGGTTTCCGACTTGGCGCCGTTGCACAAGTTATGGTAGAGGTACCCGAGAACCGCCTTCCAGGATCGTGACCTTTTGTCAGCCGAATTGAATTGACGAAATTGACGAATGTTTTCTCTCGCCACCGCTTCTTTCAATGCATCATATGAAGGGTAAATTGCGCCGACTTCGATCCTTTCAGGCTCAGAATCTAGCTGATATGGTTCTTCTAGCTCTAGATTGGCCCAGGTGGTGTCTACTTCCTCGTCACTATCTTCCCTCGTGGCAGAATCAACATCACAAAAACCTTGTTCATAGTCTGGGTCGTCCGATTCTTCACCTGAGTCTGGATGAATTCATATGACTTAATGGGTCAGATTTTGTTTAAACGCGTTATAAATTGTGAGTTTCTCGAAAATAAAATAAAATACGTTTATATTTCTCGATTTAAAATAACAATGTAATTTTTAAAATTTAATTTATATTTTTTTTTAAATAAAACAACATATTTCCAAACAACACCCCCCTGGTCGGAAATGGGCAATCCGACTGGGAGATTTTTTTTTTACCTTTTAATTCGGAAGCACTTAAAAAAGGCATATAAAAATTTCTATAAAAATACCCCAGTCGGATTTCAGAAATCCGACAGCTTTAAAAATCATTTTTTTTTACTTTTTAATTCCGATAGCATTTAAAATAGGCAAACAAAAATTTCTATAAAAACCCCCAATCGGATTTGGGCAATCCGACTGCATTAAAAATATTCGAACCCCAATTAAACACGTCGCCCGAACATTGAAAAATTAAAAAAAATCATTATCCTCTAGTCGGATTGCCCAATTCCGACTAGAGGTTTATTTATTTATTTATTGTTTGGTTTAATGAAGTTGGCCGGATTTCTAAAAATTAAAAAAATAACATACCTAGTCGGAATTGGGAAATCCGACTAGAGACCAACCCTAAAAATCACCCTAGTCGGAATTGGGAAATCCAACTGCCGTGTTTTGGTAACCTAATCCTAATTCCCGTGTTTTGGCCTGTCAGACTCCAAAAGCCCGTGTTTTGGTAACCTAATTTCCAAAAGCCCGTGTTTTGGCCTGTCAGACTACGGGATCGATACTGGACAAATATAATCGGTCCCAAATATAACGGATAATCTCGGCACGAAACGGAAACACTCCGGAACGGACTAACGGAATGATGAGTCTTTTGCCCATCCCTACTCACAAGGAATAATTGTTGCTCTTAATACCAGTGAAAAGCAAGTGGTGAAAATTGAAAAGGATAATATAATATGAACAAGTCAACAATCATCCAGTTTTCAATCACAGTCCATCATCACATGCAATTGGTTATGGGCGTGAGGAGATGAAACAATTTGGTTGGATGAATGATAGATATTTCTTGGGGCTGATTGGAAAAGAAAACGATGCTTCCAAATTACTTTCAAATTAATTTTGTGGCTGATAGCTAGCTTAGATCCAAATAAATTACTTTTCAAATTAAGAGTCTTGGTAACATTCAAATTGAAATTGATTGTATTGATCGATTATGCTAAGATTTGTAAAGTTCTGACTGAAGTGACTGAATTGGCTAATTCTACTGACGTATGAAAAAAATTATATTTAAAATTTATTTATTAGAAAAATAAAGACATAATTATACCAAAAAAAATAAAATGATCTGATCCTCCACAGTAACTTCAGCCAATATAACAACAAAAGTAACTTCAACCTTACTATTTGTTTTATTATTACAAAACTCAGCGCGTGAAATCAAAAATTACGTGTTTAGTGAAAAAATGGCTAATAAGCCGAAAAATAGGGTTATTAAAGAGGCCCTAATGAGAGAAACTAAGGTTGCATTCATATTTCATACTACGTATCTGGTTTTACGCTTCATTTTTTAAGTAATTCGATTGCGGCTTACAAAATCCCAATTCCAATAGCTAGTTATTTCTCTTAAATATTTGATTTTATCCCTCACTTGGGATTTAGAATGTTTAAAAAACACGGTGAATATTTCAAAAAGGAGAAGAGTGTCAAAATGGTACTTGAACTTGTCTCTAGATTCTTCCAAAAAACAAAACTTGTCTCCTCTAGTATAAAGAGTACATAATTTTGTATACTATTATAAGGTATCACACCTACTATATACTATTATAAGGAATCACCCCATTATGAGCATGCTTGGTAACACTGAAATCAGTTGTTTCTGCTGAGATTTATGAAGTTATGTCTGAAGTGGCAGCATTGGCTGATTCTGTCGACTTATGAAAAAATTATATATAAATTATATTTTGTTAATAAAATAAAGAAAAAATTACATTAAAAAATAGTTTGGTGGAAGTAATTCTTTTTTTTGTAAAGAACCAGTAATTTCAGTCAATACAGTCATAAAAATAATTACGACTTTACATTTTCTTACTATTACACAATTCAGCGTAAAAATAAAAAATTGCATATTTGATGAATAAGTTGATCGATAAGTCTAATAAACCAAAAAAGACAGGACCAAATATACTCCAGTTTAAACTACCGTACTGCCGCTGTGAAACGGGGAGTAGATCAAGCGAGCTAGTATTAACCCTCCACTCTCACTTTTCATTCGATTCCCCCCTTAAAATTCCCTAGTGCATCAAATTAGTAGTCATCAATCTCACTTTAAATCCTAATTTTTCCTCCACTACAAAAGGTGAAGGACTTTGTAGCACATTTATCTGTCGGAAAAGTAATTGCATTTGGATAACAAGTATACCAACCAAAATTGACACTCCTAGAAACCGTTTGTATCACATAGGCTATTACTCCGTACATACCAGCAAAAGATTGTCGATAATATACCTGATTAGACCTTCATCACCCATATAGCAAGTAGGGCACCATTTTATGAAAACCTATATAATTGGTTTTAATAAAATATTTCGTATATTCTTTGTAAAAAATATTTTAAGCTTGTACTCAATAAGAATATTTCAAAATTGAAAACAAACAGAAAAGTTAAATGATAAAGATCGGATACACTGAAGTGTTCCGTTAACACAACATCAATGTAAACACTAATGTGTAGCCTGTATAAAACGATAGAAGCATTAAAGTTCTAACAGGACTTCCAACCAATCATTATGAAGCATCTGAAGTAGATGTCACTCTGGTTGTTAAGGCATGATCATGAAGATCAGCAATGAAAGTGGTAGCCCCCCGAGGTCGTGAAGACACTTGTTATCATCACTATAGAGATAAACTCTAAAGCAATGGCCTGAACATGTCGGTGATTTCTATGTTGCAACAGCAGGACTTCCTTCCAATCATCGGTCTATCTATAGTAGATGAGCCCTATGGAAGTTCTCGCATGGTCACTTGGACCTGCAACTGACTCAAAAGTGTGTTTGTGTCCTAGAAAATTCAAAATATTTGGGAGTGAGATAACTAGACACAACGTGATCAATGAATGTCCCGTGGCATGGGGTTGAGGCCGCTGTAGTCAGTATCACTTGCCTCGTAAGGAGACAGTAATGAGAAGAGACAAGGGTCCCCGGGAAATTTGATTAAACACTTGTCTGTTGGGAGACAAATGAGTGGTCTTGGGTAGGGTTATGTATGCACTGTGTGGACAAGATGCAGTGACTTCTACCCGGGATCTGAATAAATTTAGTCCTGAACCTATGGGGATTGTCCAGAGTATTTGAGTGACTGCGAGTAATTGATCAATTGATAACAGGCAGTTGAGGTAGCAGACTTATCATTGAATATTTTTTTCTAGCTCACTTGAGCTTTCTGCTTCCTAACGCTCATAGTATTCAGTTATTCACTCACTCACACACTCACTCACTCATTTACTCTCGGCTTTGTCCCTTGGGTAGGCTTAGTTAGGTTTACTAAGCCATATGGACTTCTCTCTCATTCTCTTTGTTTCTTCATTTTCTCTCTATATCCCCCTCAACTGGAGCACTCGGTATGCTTTGTTATCGTTTGGCACCGGGAAGGAGAAAATTGAAAACTCCCCCTCAAATGTTGCATCCTTTGAGAGAATCCTTGCTTTGTTGTTATGTGGCGCTAGGACGAGAAAACTGTAACTCCCCCCCTCAGATTGTGCAAGGGTTGATTGCTCACGGCTTGTTATACCTGCCATGTGTATGGAGCAATCTGAAGAGGTACTTACACATGACAGTTTACTCTGAACTCATCATCTAGAATTTCAGCACGTTGATGATCACACGTTGTTAATGAGTAAGGGGAGGCATCAGTAGTTGATTGTTGTGAAATGACCGTTGACGCGAGGTTGATTGAATTATCTACGAGTTCCGGACCTTACAGTGTAGATTAGACCTTCGGTTTGACATTTGGTTTGACTTTGGTTTGATTTTGGAAAAATTGACCAGATTTGCCTCAGTTTTAACCTTGACTTTGACTTTGGTGATTTTTCAGAAAACAGATGATATCTCCCTCAACAATTCCAACAAAGGCGAGTGAGAGAGCGTGAGAAAGGGTTCTGGGGTTCCTCCTAAAATTCATGTAGATCTTTTCATTAGCTTTCCGAAAAGGTATTATATGCGTAAATCGGATCACCGAGTCAAAAGTTATGGCCGAAACAGTGCAGAACGCTGAAAAGTTTGAATTTTGAACTTTGAAAAACTTTTCGAAGTTGAGTTTTTCGATGTTGAGCTGCGAAAACTTTTTCTCGATGTTGAATATCGAAAACTTTTTCTCGATATTGAATGTCGAAAAGTTCTTCTCGATGTCGAATATCGAAAACGTCTTCTCGATGTTGAATATCGAAAACTTTTTCTCGATGTTTGAATATCGAAAACTTCTTC